ACAGGTGCTGGCCTCAGGCTCTAGCTCCACCTGGCTGCAGATTCAGGAGGAGCTGGTCAGAGTTATTTTGCCCTAAGTGGCACAACTTGCCTCGCACCAAAGTGCATGTCCAGGCATGTGCACCGAGACAAAAATCCCTGGCTCTAATTTGTGCTGCTCCTATTTGAACTGCTGCAGGTGCATGTGCCTGCACATGTGGACATGTCTGGTGTATTCAGAATACTTTTGATTTACTTTCATCTTTTTTAATTTTTTTGAATGGTGACATAGGATCTTAGAAAAATAGGGCTGGAAGGGACCTCACAAGGTCATTTAAGTCCAGCCCAGTGGTCAAGGCAGGATCATCCCTGACTAAACCATCCCAGCCAAGCATTTATCGGATCTGCTTTTTAATTCTCAAGGACAGGGAATCTAGAGTTTCCGTAGTTAGCCTGTACCAGTGCTTGACCACCCTCATAGTCAGGAAGTTCTTCCTAATCTTCAACCTAAATTTCCTCTGCTGCAGTTTGAGGCCATTACTCATATCGTTTCTCTGTGGCTGTAGGATACAGGACTATCTCCAACCTCTCTCTAATTTCCCTTCTAGTATTTGAAGACTGGTATCAAATCCTCCTAGGTCTTCTCTTCTCCAAACTAAATAACCCTAGTTCTTTCAGCCTTTCCTCACAGGTCTTGACTCCCAGTCCCTTAATAATTCTTGTTGCTTCGTGCTGGATTCTTTCCAAGCTGTCTACACCCTTCTTGAAGTGTTGGGCCCAAAACTAGTCACAGTGCTCTAGGTGAGGTCTCACCAGTGCTGAATAGAGTAGAAAAACTGCTTCCCTTGATTTGCAAGTGACATTCCTGTTAATAGAACTCAGCATGCAGTTGCCTTCTCTCTCTCACTTTCTTTTCTTGCACAAAAAAAGGTACACTACACTGTTGGCTTATATTCACCTTATGGCACCCAGAGGTCTTCCTCTGCAGTACTGCCCAGCCAGTCATTCATCCAGTCTGTTTTTGTCCATGCAATTAGTCTGTCCCAAGTACAGGACTTTGCACTTTTCCTTTTGGGTCTCCAGTGGACCATTTCTCCAACCTGTTCAGGTCATTTGGTATCTCGGCTCTAATCTCCAAAATATCTACAACTCCCCCCAACATGGTGTTATCTACAAATTGTAAAGCGTTCACTCAATATCATCATCTAGATTATTAAATAAAATATTAAACAATACTAGACCCAGAACAGACCCCTGGGGAATCACTTGATACTTCCTCCCAACTAGACATTGAGCTATTGATAACTGCTTATTGAACACAATGATCCAATCAGTTTTTTATCCACCAGGAAATGTGTATTTCTCATGGGTAAATGAGAAAGGTTTTTTCCCTCTTAGAAAAACTGTGTTAAAGGAATTATGTTAATTTCTGCCTCATACTTCTCTGTGTAGACTAATAAGAATGCAAGGCTGCATTAAAAGTATCTTTGAAACTTTTTTTGAGAAGCTGCATCTTATTGAGATATGAGCCAAGAAGAGTGTTGGTCTATGGATTAAATAAATTAGGTCTACAATCATAAATTCCAGAAACTCACTATCTGCTCTTGGGAGGTTTTAACGTAGAATGGCATAGTTTCTACCAGGCTATTCTTTTGATATTCCCTCTTGGATACTTTGCAAGAATACCTATTCTTATTAGACGTCTGCTGACTTCAAATTACGACTACAAAATGTTTTAATTAAAGTACTCATTGATGATGACTTAAAGAATTTAGAAATGTGAATACACCCTCTTCCCCCCCCCAACCCATTTTCCACAAGAAATGTTATAATTCTAAAAAGAATGCTTTGGTTCAGGTGTGTTTTAAACTACCTTGAGCCCTCAGCTGGATCTGGGTCCATCTGTGGAAGCATGGCACCGAGCTACAGGGATCAATGAGCTGAAATTCATCAGGGGGTTGTGACCCCACTTTCCCTGCTAGCATTTGTCCCTCCCCGAATTCCCAGTCCTTCTAGTAGCAGGTCAGATACCTGTGCTCTTGCTCAACCACAAGATTTTTTAGATTGAGCTTGAATTAGAAATTACTGTGTGAAATTCTGTGGTCTATATTAGACAGGCGGTTGGATTCAGATCATAAGAGTCTTTTGACCTTAACCTGTGAATATTTACAGTAATTTCCCTTTGTGAGAGAGGCCTCCCATTGGGTGCTTATACACATGTTGTGGGGTTTAGTCCTTAGGGTTGCATTCTGTGCCCCCTAAATTGAAACTGTTTTTAATGGAAACCCATGGTTTCAATTTAGGGGTTTCCATCACTATTATGGCAAGGTGCCTGCCCAGAGCCTGGGGGGCAAGCTGGCGGTGGGCTGAGCAGCCCCTGAGCTGCAGGGGCCTTGGTCCTTCCCTCTGCAGCAGCAGTGCCCCCGCCCAGGGTCAGCCAGGCGGGCTGCTAACGAGCTGGGTGCTTCCCCAGCTTAGAAGTAGTACCTGACCCTATCTAACTCTTCCCTGACCCAGAACTGTGGCAGCACCTTGCCCGCTAGCAGCCCTTCTAGGTGGCCCTCGGGGGTGCTGCCACCACGGAGTAAAGGAGCAGGACCCCTCAGCTCAGGGGCTGTTTGTCCCACCTGCAGCTCACCCCAGCCACGGGAGAGGCGGCAGGCTCCTCTGGGAAAAAGAGGGAAAAAAAGATTGGCCCCCCTCACTGTTTCTTCCTTCCACAGCCACCTGCTGAAGGCAGAAGTGGTGAGGGGCCTGATCCTTTTTTGCTGCAGAGCCTGCCCACCTCTTCTGAGACTGTGGGGGGCAAACTGACTAATAGCTGCAACACATCATTGCAAACTCATTTAAAACCCCCAAAATTCCTGTACGTGTACAGTGTGATGCCATTAAGCCACAAAAAGTGATATTTTCATCACATGTACATGGTAATGGTGTCATATGTACAAGTGCCCATTATGTCAGGTGCTTTTTAAACCAAAACAGGGAATATGCTTCTCCTGAAGAGGTATGACTTATGTGATATGAAAACCCTTCAGTGAAGTGGCATATGTATTAGATAGTTTGCAGAATGGTTTATTTCCTGATTTGAAATATTCCATTTTGGACTGTTTTAACCTGTTTAAAAAAATCAGATTTGTAAAACAAGAAATAACTGGTCACAGAGGGAAAAGGGTTGTGACAAGAGCCTCATCTGGTATAAATTGCCATAGGTCCAAGTCCTACAATACTGGTGTCAAGTGGAAAGGCACATTGGGAGAAAAGGACTTTGAAGAAATACTTGGATAGGTGTAAGGGATGTACTTGGTAGCCGTGTTGGTCTGAGACAAAAAGACATACAAAAACTAGAACTCTTGGTTCCAAAATGATACCTTTTATTAGACCAACTGGAAAATGGCAAGAAAATTGTCCTTTTTCTTGCCATTTTCCAGTTGGTCTAATAAAAGGTATCATTTTGGAACCAAGAGTTCTAGTTTTTGTATGTCTTTTTGGATAGGTGTAAACTGTTTCAGGCATAACCCATCCTTGATAGTTTGTGTATCAGTTTCTTGGTAGGACTTCTGAGTGCTACTGTAGTATTTGACATCAATGGAAGACACATGCATCTTGTACCTAATGATTGAGAACCTGCTGACAAAATAAAATGAAGTCTTTAGCAGAGGTGTAATTGCTAAGGTTTGCACCCTAGGCCAGCGTTCCCCTTCTGCACACTGCTCCTCTACCCTAGAACTGCGTCTCTGCTGTGTCCAAGCTGCCTGCTGCTGTCCCAGCCCTTCTTGCTGTGTGCCAAGGGATGCTCTATCATTCTTGCAACCCCTTCACTGCAGTTGTTACAGCTGATTCATGTTGCCTCCAACTGCCACCAAAGTTGGCAGCATGAGAAGTGGAAACTATAGTAAGGGGTCATGAGAGATACAGCAGGAAGAGCTAAGGGGCAGCAGGTGACACAGCAGGGATGCAGTCCAGGGATAGTGGAATGCCCAAGGCAAGTTGTGCCTCTGCAAGCAGAAGGAACCTGGGGTACTTTCTCTAGATTAGTGTCTGGGTTAATGCTACTGGTCTTTAGTATCATGGATGAATTCTCACTTATGGTAGAACTAGTAACATGATATACACTTTGATTTGAGAGCTTAGGTTCCATTTTTCAAAACTGATTTAGGGTCACATTAAAGTTACTTACACACATGCGTGCCCTGTGTGCGCTTTTCAGAAGTGGTAAAATAAGTTAGGCACCTAACTCCCATTGACAGCATAAGGGAAGGAGATGCCTACTGCAGATTTTAAATGCCAATGGGAATACTATTTTCAAAAGCAGCTAAGTACCTTTCAAAAAAAGTCTTAAGAGCCTAGGTTGCTAAATCATTTTTGAAAAAGGGACATAAATTGCTAGGTTACTTAGTTCACGTTTTTGAAGATTTTGATGATATTTAGCAATTTTCCACTCTGTGTTGCATAGTGACGCCAAAAGTGATTTGAGATGAAGGCTTTTAAATGCCTGAAGTCACCTTTTGAAGATGGTGACTTCACCTTTAAGCTCCTGATTTGGGTTTTTTTTTAAACTTTATAGTTGGAATTTGTCACAGACACAGTATTATTTGGATTGCAGGAATG